GGGCGGGGGGGGGGGGGGCACGGCAGGAGGGAAGCCTGATAAAAACAATTAGTTCCCCACATTCCACTAGAAAAGGTCAACAAACTGTTCACCAGATTTTGCCCACATCTTTCCCGCCAACATTTAAAAAAATAATAGGATATTAACAGGTCATATTAAAGCACATACACACATACACACTCCCAACCCATAAACAATACATTAATCCTGTGATCATATAACGCTTATCCCTCACCCTCTAACATCAAGTCACCAAATTAACAAATGTATACAATTAATGCAGAAATTCATATTTACCCTAAAGAGAAAATGTTTGCGATGATCAGGGCCACTATCATGGACCAAGAGAAATTCAGGTGGTTGCCACCTTCTCTTATTACAGATTTCCATCAAGGCAGACACAGGATGTTTGCCTGCAGAGAAAAAAATAACCAGTTATAATTATCTCCACATCTGAGGCAACAAATTTGAATTCAAGGGGAAGGTGGAACAAGAAGAAATTCAAAACTGTACTCTCACCTGACAGATCTTTCATTGCAGCAGAGAAGTTTCCAGACCTCTTTTGTGCTCTTTCTCCTACTGCAACAAGACCTTAAAAAAAAACAATTGATCACTGAATAAATTTCAAAGCATTTAGAATTACAATATGGCGAAACAACTACTCCCTCTATAGGAAACTGAACCTCAATCCAGGCCCTCAAATAGAAGTCAACACCCACCCACTACCCTTGATCTTGACTTCTGTTTTGTTGTTTCAATACGTAAATCTATACATTGTCTTCATTTATCTTAGTATTGGAAACTGTACAAAATCAAAATTTTCAGAAAAGTTAATATGTGAATACATATATAAATTGCTATAATTATCAACTCCAGATGTTTCTTCCTAAGTTTAAAAAGTAGTGGCTCTTTGCAAATGATTTCTAAAGGTTTCTCATCTCTTGAAAAATGATGCTCAGTTTAAGTATGTTCCCCAGAAGTCGAGGATCTTACGCCAAACAAAAGTGAGAAAGGCTCTCGTGGATAAATGGGTCCATTTCTTTTTCCAGCCAACAAGCCCTTTCTGACTTCAAACGTGAGATGTACTCAAAAGACCAACAGCCTCGGCCTCACTTTCCAAAAGGGGTTTAGCCACATTCCTAACTAAAATCGATGCTTTCCATTTATCCTAGGGGGAATTTTTCAACCAGTTCTTTGCCAATTCTGCCACTATGCGTTCCCAAACCCAGGCCACACTGCACAATTCCAAAGGGACTATTCCCTGGAATTATGCAATGCACCCACAGATGTTGTCTTCTCATAAACCACCTTTTATGACACACAGAATCTATGCAACTTGTATAAGCAGTATAATGTCAATGTGACAATAAGTACAATGTCATTTTCTAATTTAAAGTTTGCATTAATGCTGCATTATTGGATGATTGTGTTATTTCCAGCCTATTTCCGAGTATCACTATTACAATAAATTCTCTCCAATTTGGAATAAAATGGCAACATATTAGTCTTGGTAGATGACAATGTAGAAATTCTGATGCAAAACATTTTTTAAAATACATAATTTGGTCAGAGCTAGTTGGTTTCCAAATTCATTAGGACAATAATTTAACTGTATTAACTTCAACTTAACTTTCTGATTACAAAGATAAGGAAAATAAATTAGTTTTAAATTTTCCAGTTTTTAAAAATCAGGTTTAAACAAGCTATTGAAATCACATTTAGCTGGCAGCCCCATGTGATTCTACAACAGACATTATTCCAAGGGAAGAAATGCAATGTGAAGAGGTAACACTGCTGTCAGCAGTGGGTCTACTCTCCAGTCCCAGCCCAACAGAACTCAATTACTGAGCTTGAAAAAAGGGATGTGCAAAAGGGGTTTAGAAAGTGAAGACTAAACAGAACTCTCTAATAGGAAATGAGAATATGTGGGATAAACATCTTTGAAAGAAGAAATAAATCCTGGAAACAAAAACAAGCACGTGTTCCCTGTCAAGAGAAAACAAAATGCAAATTCTGTCTAAATATAAAATCTAATTAAAAACTTAATCATATATTGCACATAACAAAGGTTGTTGCCTTTTACGCTCAAATTAGTGTCTCCATCTATATATAAAGCTTCTGAAAATGGGTTAAACATTTTTTTCCTAACAAAAAGCTATATATACTGTAAGAAGTGCCTCCGGTTCAAGATCACTGACATCAGAAGAATTTATGATAGTAATGAAAT